CTGCCACATTTGTACAGTCCGATATATCCCCATCCCATCCCATCCCATCCCTTTACAGTAAGCGTAGCGTAACATGAAATAAGACCTCATACCCCCCCTTCCAGGTATACGTAGTTCATTTGCATTTGGGACCTCATTCATGATAATCTAGGGTGTAATTCGCTTCTTTTGTAATTGCATCTGTGGGTTTTTGTGCGGAGTTTTAACTTTTATTGTTATAGACAGTGTTTTGGATGAAGGAATGATTTTGGTTCTAATGCGGATGGGTAGAGAAGGAATAGGCAGACGGAGAATATGGTTTATTTATGTATCAGATGTGTGCGCGGCGCAATCCTTCTCACCTAGCCAGCGCGCCATTTCAATGAGGTCGAGAGCAAAGCTGGGTCTGGAGCAGGAGGGGTGATGTCACAAATGAAATCTCCAAAACGTGGCAATGCGTCCGCCCGCTCACGGTGTATTGCCATCACTTTCTCTTGCAGACGCTTACGTCATTCCATCATTCAGCAACCACCATGGACACCGACGACTAACAATATTATAATGATTTTCGACTACCTATGCTCTTCCTGATGCTCTTCTGCTCTTGTTCTGCTCTTTTACTACCTTTTGATACGCGTTTCATTGTTCTTCGCAAACTTAAGGACAAAACTGCTCTGTCGGTTGCTCAATCGCCACCAGTCAAATAAAACGAATTCCTCTGCATTTCCACATTCTAAACCCTCACAGGATTTGGGAGAAAAACAAAACGAACTGGAGTGCAGCAAGGAACGGGGGGAGCTGATTTCGAACGTTTGAAATGTAAGGTCTTTTTATCCAACACAGCTTGAGTGCCCAACATGAATGTTGTGTGGTTAATCAAAGTTAAGTTATGTAAGATCTACTGGTGGTTTTTTGATCGTTATAAGCAGGAATTCAGTATCTGATAGATTGAAAGGTGACGAACTGCGACTGTGGATGTTTTTGGGATTATACTCGGACTTACTCAGAGCACACTGAGCACGCTTCAATCTCCCAAACTTATTGAGAATTCTTCCTGTTACTGTTGCCGGGGAGCCTGCGCAAGAGAAATAGACATGATTATTAACAATGCCCGCACCTCAGCACCACCTGGAAACGCGAAGAAAGTCTCGGGGAAACACACGCTGTTGAGACAGCTTCAACAAGACTGAGTTTGAACATGAAGGTTGCACAGAGTTACACCCAATTGACTTACCCAAAATGCCGACAACAACAGACACCACCTCGACGGTTTTGAGGATAAAACGGAAGCGAACGGATGACCCAGTTCAGGCATTAGGCATGAATTCTACCCTTCCTCCTATACAATGGGCCTCTCTTTATTTGCGGGCAGAACGTCTGCCTTTTTTCGGTGCCGGACATTGACTCAATTTGGTTCGTTTTCGCAGTTCTGAACAGTCAGGACAAGCAGCCCGAGGAAAAGAAGCAGCGAACGGAAGGTTTGGATTGTTCACTATAAGCTTCAACGCTCGCAGCCAACATTGGGTTTTTTTGGTTGTGCCGGGCTGACTGTGGCCTAACAACCTTTTCCGAACTATTTTGTTCTTCAGAAACACCCGGAGCGCAAACCCGTATATTCACACTCGTCGACACGCTCAACATTAATGAATTCTCCAAGGATACTAGAAGTAGTGCACAGTTGAAGGTAAGTGCCGTCGATTGAACTGCAGGGGAGCAGCCACGTGCACCGACGTGCTGACGGGTGTTTGGTCGCCTTACGTTCGTAGGAAGCATTATCTCGTGCGGTTGCACTGCGAAGTAAACCGACATCATCAATCAAATCAGCATCGACAACATCCACAGAGGACCGGAAAAAAATGAGCATCAAGGCGCAACGGGTAGGATATCAGCACGAGACCAAAACTGGTTATTTGTGGATGGGATGTGTGCTGTTGTTTCCTACCCATTCGGTATTGACGCGCGCGCTTGTGCATGCTTTTGCTGTGTGCTATAGGAAGAGTCAAAAGCAGCTAGATACAGAGTCGTCATGAAAAATCGACAAATGGAATCGTTTCAGTCAGATGAAGTGGCCGACCATCCGTTCAAGGTATTGATTTATCTCGGTCATATTCGGTACCTCACACATAAAAATTCGTTGTATTCATTCGGGCTGGACACGGTACTTATGTATCCTTTTCTTTCCAGTTTCTTGATGTTATCCGGGAGGAAGATTACGATGATCCTTTCAATCCCCGGCCTCCAAGGTAAGGTGCACGCAGAAACGTCCACTTCCGACTGAAATTCGGAATGGTTTTACGAATACTTAGTGCCGATGGATGTCCAGAGTGAAGACGGCGAGGAAAGCACCAAAAGAAGACGACATTATGTGTAATTTCATTCCGATGGTTCGAGAGCATTTGAAAAGTAGGTCGCGGATCCACGGTACTCAAGGCTCCAATGCGATTTGAATAACTTCTCACAAACTTCTCTATCATTCTGCCTGTTTTCAAGTTTCGGACCCAAAAGATACCAACCTAGGAGATGATGGGGAAAGCGAATATGTATATGATATTTACTACGAACACCAAACGGCGGACGTGGGCGAGCTCAGCAATGTCGGTGCACTGTAAGTAGTACGGTTGAGTAGAGTCACTTTATTTCATCATTCTGATTCCATATTCACACCATTTTCGCGGATGCAGTACGTGGGACGATCAAGTTTTCCTCAACGATGAAGACTCGGATTCCGACGAATATGATGACGATGAAGATTCAAATGGTGATTATTTGCACCTTCATTCTTTGGTTGTCTTTTGCCGGACATCCAACTGACACAGACTATTGATTTGTTACAAAGCGGAAGATTATTGGGCTAACGACTATCCAGACGAGGATTTCTGGCAAGAAGAAGGTGAGTTGTAGTCAAGTCGAAACATAGTTCATTCTGTTCGATGTTAGCATGATTGACCCCTTTCTTGCTTCCTTAGCTTCAGAGTCTGAATATAGCGATTACTGAAACGATATGTAGGTTATGGATTCTGTTTTACTTGGTAGCTGATTCGATTGAGCTTGCCTCGGCGCGTGCTTATTCTCTTACTTATCTTTTGTGTTGACTTCGACTTTTTTTTCGTAACCATCGTGGCTATCCTCAGCCTCACGCGGCCTCTGTGCGTCCGTCAGCTGCCGTCGTGCTTTTCCGCTCTCGCCCCACCCCCACCAAGTGCCCCCCGATTCTGGTTCATCGACTTTGCCCGCTCCTTTACCGTGTCATAGTAAAACTCTGTTCCATGTGCATATATATGATAACTTATGTATGATTTCATCACACCACTTTATTTTTTTGAAAATAGATCGAATTAACTTTGAAACAGAAGATTCTTCAAAGCACCCATTCTTTTTTGCGCTGAAAGTCGAGGATAGTTGCGGAGCACTTGCGTTCAGGAATCTCTTGACTGCGGATCATCTGCAAAATGCAAGTAACTGGTCCGGAGTAGGTGATTGGATGGGCAGCAGGATGGGCAGTTGATGAGCGGAGTTTTATCTTTGGTTGGTTTCTATTTTTGGCAACCAACGTGTGCAACAAATGCACGCACAATAATAGGATGCACGACACACACAGGACACGTCCAAAAATACCGATTCAAAATGAGGCGCTCTCTATAAAACCTTTGCAATGCCCCTCACAGGTACCTCCATTGGAAAGTCTAACCAGCATTCAAAGCGAGGCAAGGATCCTCCCTCTTTTCTTCTGTACAGCAAATTCGCCAAAGAAAAAGAGCGCGCTGGTCGCTGCTCTTTATCGTGTGTATAGTTTTCTGCTGCCTCTTGTACAGTATCCATCACTCGCTGCTTGCCGTTGTATAGTTCCCACACATCTTCCACCACCGAATTCCCATCATCAACAACCATGCCGTCCGTCGTGAAATACACCAAGGCCGTCGTTTCCAGGACCGCAAACAAGGCCGCCGGTCTCTCAAAGAAATCCGCTTTGGTCTCCGTTCCCCTCCCGAAGACCAGTACCCGTCGCTCCGTTTCCACCACCACAACCACCACGACCTCCGTCACCAAACAACAAGAACGCAAACAATCCTCCCCCTTCCTCCGCCTCCCCAACGAACTGCTCCTTGGCATCCTCTCCTATCTTCCAACACAAACTCTGGCAACCGTCCGCAGCGTCTCCCGTCGTCTCAAATCCCTCTCTGAACTCTTCCTCATTCGCACCTTCTCCTATCGCGTCTCGGACCTCACCATCGAAAAAGAATCCTGGGACCGCAAATACACGCTCTTGATGGCGGGGAAGGAACCACACCTCCTGCACTACCGCGGTTTCCTCAACGGCCTCGGAAACAGTGAAGTCACCGAAGTTAGTTGGTACGCCTCGCCCCCGCAGGAACTCATGACCGTCTGCGAGTGTCTCTGTATCCTCAAGGAAGGCACACTACGTACACGCGGCGGACGTCTCCCCTGGCCGACGGTTAAGAAGATCATGTCTCGGTATGACTTCAAGATGTGGTTGGCGAACCTGAGGGAGGGTGTTGAGAGGATAGATATGGCTGCTGTGAGGGTGGTCGAGGAGATTATCCGGAGTGATCACAGCATTACTTACGAGAGGTTGAGGGAGGTGTCGATGCCAGGGTACAAATTGTTGATTGTCGTTGCTGCTTGTTTGCAGTATTGTGGGGTTGCCGATGAGTTGAAGGCTTGCAAGAGGGTGTTGACGGGGGTCGATAGGAGGTTGAAGAGGGCGAATATGTTTTTGGGATATTTGACTGCCTGAATGTACGTATTTTTCATAGAAGAATCGTTCATGTCTTTTGGAAAGTGAATAACAATGAATAATATACCAACAGATGAAAATCACGAAAAGTTCCGTAAACAACATTAGCGGTTAATACATGCGTGTATGAAGACATATAGGCACACATGCATGTCTCTTATATAATGTTGAAATCTGTTTCTGTTGAAAATTAAGTGCAACTCAGGTCAGCGCAAATGCTGCAGACCCTTTTTTTATATTTATAAATTTTCGAATGAAAGATAAGGACGCGATGCCGGAGTGGTTAACGGGACAGACTAGAAATCTGTTGGGCTCTGCCCGCGCAGGTTCGAATCCTGCTCGCGTCGTAACATTCTTTCTTATGTGTGCTCTTTTTACTTGATATCACCTGTTACATGCCGGCGCCAGTTTGTCGTTCTTTCTTATGCACGTTTTTTTTACATGATATCACCTGTTACATGCCGGCGCCAAACTGGGGTGTTCACCCGTTTATATTCATCCTTTCCATTACACTCTGCTGCATATATATGCGTCTCATCTATTTGACTTTGATACTTACGATTTCGTCGATGAAGCGATGATGCATATGCATGACTAATCTTCACGACGTCTTGTTGGATTTGTCCCCAAAGCCAGGAGGTCACTATTGCGTGAACAAATACCCACGCGTTGGCGCGTTCCCGCATCCGATAAACGCTCCACGGCCGGCTTGCAAAGCATCTGCAATTGACATCTCCAAATGATTTGGAACGCGATCTTTTTGTCCATCAGGCCTCGAGGAACATTCTATTGACCACTAGTCAGACCACTAGCACTCTTGTCAGCCGCGGGTCGCCGCGGGAAAAGCTTTTGGATATGGTATACGTCCTATGAACTTTCCTTCGAAGTTGAGGACAAGAATGTGCCGTCCAGGGGGTGATACCCCAATCTCCCAAAACCCCTATCACTCTCCGTATTCTTTCACCACATCTTCAGCATCCCAACTAACAAACTTTCCGCTCAAATCCCTGGTTGCCCTTAAAGCCAAGTTGGCGATCACGCGACCGGGGTCCTCGGGTGGGAGTAATTTGCCTGAAGAGTGTAGGTTGACGAACTTGGAGTGTGTGGAGGAGGGCATCCCTCTTTCGAGACCTTCAGTGCGAATTTGGGTTTGCATGTCGGTGTCGACGACGCCTGTGAGTTGTTGCGGAATAGGACAGTATTAGCTAACTGATGATTGGATGATTAAATTGCACGCCCCAGTAAAGACGCAGCGTTCACTCAGCTTTTTCAATTACCTGGTCGCACTGCAACACTGATGCAAGATTGTTCCTCAACAGCCAAACATTCGACAAACATATTGAGCGCGGCCTTTGACGTACAGTACGCCCCCCAGGTTGGATACGCATTCTTAGCCGCTCCCGAACTGACGGCAATGAACCTCCCGACGCGAGATGACTCTTCCGCAGCTCCAGCCTTGCCCTTCAACAAAGGCAAAGTCACCCTTGCCAACTCAACACACGAGAAAAAGTTCACTTCGAACGCGTTTCTCCAAGAGGCTACGTCCGCGGATGCGATTGGTGAGAGCGGGTCTAGGATGCCTGCATTATGGATAACCGCGTCCAACCGGTGTTGGTTTACTTGTCCGTTTTTGGTGAGAAGAGAAGTCAGCCCTGATTTGATTTTGCGGGAAAAATCGGTTTCACTGGTCGTTTCGTTTGTCGAAGAAGAGATTGATGTCGATGGTGTTTTGGGAAAAGAATCTGCGAGATCGAAAGGGATGTAGTGGAAGGTTTTCGGATATGTGTTGTGAAGGGATTGGAGTTGCGGGGATTGAGATGGTTGAGTGCGACCAATTCCAAGGACTAGACAGCCTTTGCGGAGGAGGATTGAGGTGATGGCGTAGCCGAGACCCCGGGAGGCGCCAGTAACCAGGATGCAGGATGCGGCTGACATAGTGGGAGGCTCTGACAGTCCGTATAGTGAATCGGAAGTCGTGTGCAAATGGAAGTTGAATCGAAGTAATTTAGTAGGTTGTTCGCCCACCAACTTGGGAGACACTTGGGAGAGAAGTCCTTTTTGCACAACTTTGCACAACGTTTGACGACCGATCGCGATTGAATTTGGATTCGGGAAAAAGTCAACCTACCCTGAGCGCTTCCCGGAGATACTTCGGCTTCAAATCACTCAATCACTATTACTATTTGCTAGTAGCCCTCATACTTCCCCACCGCAAAGTACCCACGATGTCCTCCGCTACAGCCCTTCATTCACGTACTCTGTCCCTATACCGCAACCTCCTCCGTGTGGCCAACAGATGGCCCGCACAAGAAACTCGCACGAGACGTGTCCGTGAGCACATCGTCGACAGAATCAGAACAGAATTTCGCCAACCCGTTTCACCTATCGCCGCCTCCAACACTACCAACTCTAAAATTACAGCAGAAGCTGCACCAACAACAACCGCGGCGTCCGAGACGATACAAGGACAGGGAACGAAGATGCCGACACTGGAGGAAACTTTGATGGCCAAGATTGAGCATGGAGAGCGGGAATTGATGGCGTTGAGGGCTATTGTTGATAATGATATTGAAAAGAAGGTGAGAATTGTGTTGCGCGTGTCTTATTTGAACCAAGCGCCGGGTTGCGGGAGGAGGGAGAAAGTTGTTAGGGGGATGGGGGGCCGAAGGGTGAAGTTGGGGAGGGCCGAAGGACCTCACCTGGCCTTCGGTCTCGGCAGCTAAACCAGAAGGTGTACCCTGTACGTTCAATTTCTCCGCTTGCTCTAACCAATCATCGATCCTTTTCCTCTCATATCTCATTTTCCCCCGTTGCAGTTCCCCCTCCCCGAAACAGCACCTATGCGCGCTTTCCTCCCTTCACGGAAACTCTTTGCACTCCTTGATGAAGACGCTCAAAAGACGGTCAATCAGGATCCGCCCAGTGGTGGTGGAGGGTTCTTCGGAGCACTGTTTGGGAGAAGGGGGCCCCATGAGTCGAGACAGTTACCGGAGAATTTGTGAGAAGACATTAGACGATTCCAATTGGGATGGACTCTGTATATTTAACATCACCTTTGAATTCCTTTTTTCTACAAAGTTTTCTTGAAATATGATCATATTTTTGCTGAATTTGGTCAGACTAATTTGTGTCCCTACGAGTTTCAGACACTGCATTTGAAATGGTTCAATGATCGAACAGAATTGTTTCATCTGTACATCGGTCTTTCGCTGTGGAGGACGAGTTTTCAATCTAGCTTTGTGGCTGGAACTTGGGAAATGGGAACGAACTCGGAGGTACCTGTCGAAATGGCCAATGTGCTCCACAGATGTTCTTGACAGGCGTTTTGAGATCAACCATCAACCAGTACCAACGGATCCGAACAAATTGAATTCAAATAAATCGTGCTTATCATATTCTTTTGATGTCGATACAATACATACATACACATCACAAAAGGGAAATTTCTACGAAGAACCTCCTTGAAGAACAAATGCAACTTCATCTTCGTCTTCCTCTTCACTGCCAAAAGTACCTCCCCAAAATTTCATGGACCCCGCAACACTCTTGGTCTTGCCCTTCCTTCTCCCACGATCCTCCTTACTTGGGCGTCTGCTGCCGCTCGGCATGCCAGGCACGGCACGTCCACCACCGTGCATAATCCTGTTCATGTTCTTCCCAACAAGTTCATCTTCCCATCCTACAAACCCTCCTTTGGACTGGTTCTCCTCATCCTCTTCTTTCCAAGCACCAATCAATCCGCTGCTCCCACCGTCAGATCCGTAACCGAAGCGGTACCCAAACAACTGGATTTCGTGCCCGCAGAGGCCAAAAACGGATCGTCTGGAGTCACTAGTGTTGGATGTGAAGCTGTTGTGTTCTTCTTTTGCTCCTGACGTGGACGAGGAAGGGTGGAGTTCGGTTTGCGATGCACCCAAAATCTTCACACCTTGATCGACAAGGACCTCAACGCCTCGATAGAATCGCATCAAACCGCAGTTCTCGTCGACATTAGTTGCAATATTCAGCGACTCAATGTTGTTATAATCAGCCACAACGTCTGTCGACGACGGAGAGTTCCACCACCACCACCACTTTTTGTTCTGCTGTTGATCGTCCTCCTGAGCCGTGGAAAGCTGTGACTGATGGGATGAATTTGATTCGTTTGGATGAGTGCTTGTGGTTGCATCGTTGCGGGCATCAGCGTGGGAAGGAATCAGATGGGAACCACCAAGAGACTCCGTGGAGATTGAGGATGAAGAATAGGTGCCACCAACGCCCATGTCCGCAGGAAGTTTCCCCTTCTTATTGACAAATATCTGTCTCAACAACGACGAAGAAGACTTATTTGAGGCAGATTGACATTCGTCGGTCTGGTGGGTCGTTGTCGCGATTGGAGACAACCCCATGCACTGCCTCCATCTCGGATCGTCCAAGATACATTCCTTGAGAGTGGTAATCCATGTTCGTAAAGATGCCGAATCATCGTCGTGCTCCCAACATTGCTGTTGGTGCTGCTGGACTCGCTGTCGCTCCGTGTCGGTGATCTTTTTCTCCACCCACGACATTAAATACACGAACCGGGGCCAAACTACTGCACCCCCGCTAGTGGCAGAACCGTCTTCGGCCACAATATCTGCGTCGTCCAGGTTCGTCGTGAATGTCTCTTTACCCTTCCCCTTTCCTTTGTGTCGTTGCGAGCGACTGCCACGTCTCTCCTTCATTTGCTTGGTTCCCCCCGAAGTGAACATTGACAGCACCGAAGAGGAGGTCGATTTGAAAGATGAGGTCGTGTCTGTGGAGGAGACTGACGAACGCGATGAGACGGAGGAGGACCGTTTCGGACGTGACCGGGCTGGATGTGGTACTGATATGGGTGGTGATGCTGATGGCTCGTTCTGAGGGCTCTTAGAGCCAATGCGAGGTCTTGCTGCGGGAGCATCTAGGATTGCGTTTGATATCTCCCGTACCCATGTTGGATCAGGCACTACCCCCGCTCGGAGTAAAGTGGATACCGAAGACACCGTATCCCATTCAGTTTGAGCCGACTGCAGATGAACCTGACGGGCTGTCATGCGTATGCTCTTGGGCGCTTTGGGTGTTTTGCTGTCGCCGCTTTTGGTAGAAATCTGAGGCTTGTTGACGCTTTGTTTCTTTTGCGTTGAGGGAGGAGCGGAGATAAATGTGGTCGGTGGGGACAAGGATGAGCTGCTACTGGAAATGTCCATCTGACGCGTTGAAGATGATGACGAAGATGTGGAAATTGACGACGATGAGGATGGGGGTGATGATTTTGCTTCAGGTGGCGACGACGACAGATAAGGAAGGGTAGATGATAAAGAAGAATGAACCGAGAAATTAGAAGAGC